TCTGTGCTGCCACCGCTGCCCCACAGGGCAGCCCAGAGGTGGTGGTGATGGCGGTGGAGCTGCAGAGCAGCCCAGGAGTGGGCTCCGGGCAGCTATAGCAGGAAGCACCAGGCAGTGGTGAGGCGGGGGTGGGGGGCACTTTTCCCCAACACTGAGCAACAGTTTCTGCCTGGCCGGCGCTGCTGCTGCCACTATTTAGCATGAGCAGGCGAGTCTGGAGCAGGCGCGGGGTGGGCTGGGTCAGGGCTGTGGCACAGGTCCATACCAGCACTGTGGGGTTGGGGCCAGTGGCAGCCAGAAGGAGCTGCTGCTGCCCCCGGGCTGCCTAGAAAGGCAGTTCAGCTGCAGAGCTGCCCCAGCCCTGCTGCGTGCCCAGGGGGTGGCAGGATGTGCCACAGTCAGACAGTGCCTGGGATAAGCGAGACCAAGGGACCTACCATAGGCCAAACAAAGCCCCTCCACAGGCCAGATGCTGTATTTTGCCCACCCCTGGTCTAGAGAATATTGTTAATTAGCCAAACAAAACTATAAATGTGTCCTGTGCTTGTGCAGAAGGCAACTAGAAACAAATGCACTCTCTAGGCAAGACGGAATTTTAGTCCAAAAAAGGTCAAAAGTTTGCCCATGCCTGTACGGCCCAGCAGGCTGGGTAAAGGCACCTCAGTTCCTGCAACCAATGGCAATCAAACATGCAGTTTGGCAAGTATCACATCCATCTGCCTTTGATCCTTCAACCCAAATAACCAGATACCCATCTGCAACCAAGAGCTTAAGTCCAGAGCAAAGCCCAAACCACAGCCTGGTATAAACAGCAATATACCTTAACCACTGTGCTACTGGGCCCCACAAGGGCTCTAAAAATCTAAATATATCAAAACACAAGTATAATGAAGCACTATTACAAAACCCCCTTAAATATAAGCAGAGTTTCAGTATAGTAGCAGAGGCCTAATTTGACAACAGCCCCTTTCCTCTTCACGATAGGAATGACGACAGACCCACTCTGTTATCAAGGAAAGCTCTGTTGAACTGCCAGTCCATGGGCTACATGCAGTCCCTAAGGGGTTAAGCTGCAGCTCCTGAGCTCTTAGTCCAGGCACTTCTCTTTTTTCTTTTTTGCTGCTGTCACTAGAGTCCCCAGGCTCTCCCTTCTTCCTCCAGCTTCTACTGCCCATCCCCACCTTGCACGTGATGTGGCAGGGTCCCGTGTTGTGTGGGGGCTCACAATGTAGGGGTGAGGGGTTGACTCACATGGTGTGGCATGTGGCCTGCACTGTGTGTACCTGGGGTCCTGCAGCCCTGACACTCAGAAGTGGGATAGCCCTGATTTAAGTGGCCTCTACAATGCATCTGTGACAAGATCTGGAGTAAGAAATTCCTGCTTAACCATCTCCCTCTAGTCTAGTACCATTTCTCTACTTTACCCTGTCCTCCTCTGCTCAGCCCAGGGCAAAAAAACCCTAAAAATTCAGCCTGTAACACTCATCTGATAGACAGCAACTGTGGAATACTCAGTGTCACCCATGTCCAGCACAGTAAAACATAACCATTAGCAATATGTAGTTTCATCATGGGGACATACTGTCCCACAGTCAAAGCATAATGGCTTAGTGTAAAACAGAAATCCTCTGTCTCCTGTACCCCAACTCCAGTGCTACTGTGGTAACTACTGCCTTAGCTACATATCCCCTATAAGGCAGGTGAGAAGTGAAAGCTAGATGACTGATCTGTACAGTTGTGAATCCAGTAAATTGTTTTGTAATCTCATCTCTATTCCAGTATGGAAAACATTTTGGTAGAACCAGAAGAAGCCTGCACCTCCCAGGCAGCCTACACCCCCTATGAGAGCTCTTGGCACTCTCCTTATTCAACCTCATCTGTTCTGTTGTTGGCTAGGTAAGATTGTGATGGGTGGGTAGTACACTTGGGTCTCTCTTTATGCAAATTCGTTTTGTGCGAAATCACTTACATGTGACAACCGTATCTATACCAGAAACTCGCTTTGTGTGAGAAAAATTCTATCTTATGCGAAGAAGCAAGCAATGCAGCTATGCAGTAATGTGAGTGAAACATTGTGGGAGGGTGAGTGGGGCAGGTATACGACACCATCCCGCACTTGTCTCAGTCTCGCATTGCTCATAGTTCCGTGCGGTGCTACACTACTTGCACTCGTATTGTGGTGCATCAATTTGCCTTTATTATTGAATTTAGTGAAATGTTGTCTAAGCAATCTTCTAGTGCATCTCCTAACTCTGTCCTGAGCCAGCCATGAAGTGAAAAAGGAGGCTGGTACGTATTCCTATTAATTACATGTAATAATGGATTCACTTTATGCAAATTCACTTTATACAAGTTTTTTTTGGAACGCAACCCTTGCATAGAGAGAGTTTCGAATGTACTTGCTCCTGTAAAAACAATTCAATCATGGATATAACTGAATCATATTAACAGATTTCATCCCACTATAACTGATATCACTAAATTCACACAGGATGAAACTCAAGTCATATCAATAGTAGTCAGCACATCAGTTCTACTCTACTCTACCTAAATCATAAGGGCTTATGGAGCACATCAACCTTTTGTTAGCCTTTGCACAAACGTACATTTCATCCAATTCTTAAAAAGATTCAGGAATAAATTCAGGAAAATTTGGTTGGAAATAGAATAATCATTGGATGCAGGGGTGGCAGTGGATATAGTTTTCCTAGACTTCAGGAAGGCTTTTGATACAGTCTCTCACCCCATTCTAATTAGGAAGTTGGGGGACTGTGGCGTAGACACCCATACAGTCCAATGGGTCGC